GGGCGTCCCGGCCAATGAGACGGCGGAGGCCCCCGCACTGAAGCGCCGTGGGTCGCCACCCGAGCCGCCAATCACCGTCGTCATCCTGCTGATCTACCGCAGCCTGGGGGCCGCGCTGCCCGCCAAATACCACACCGACCGCCGCGGCATCAGGTCTGTCCCCCTGCCCCTCTCTCTTCCTGTCCGCCCTCCTGGTCTCGGACAGAAACACGGATGCCAAGTCCCTCGACCGCAGGATCTCGGTAGCGATGTTTCAGCAATGATGACATGGTGCATCACTCACTGTCTCATGAGTGCGCAGGACGGGAGGGCTGAGGCTGGAAGGAAGATAAACTCTGTGAATAATGACTCTGACATCGTGCTGGCTCTCTCTCTCTCTTTCTCTCTCGTGTGGGTGTCCAGGCTCCCCAAGCACCCGGTGATGAACTCCCCCGTGGTCAGTGTGTCGGTGCTGAACAACCAGGCGTACGTCACAGGCCCCCTCGACTCCCCCCTGCTGCTGGAGTTCCGCCTCCTGGAGACGGCCAATCGCAGCAAGCCGCTGTGTGTGCAGTGGAACCACACCAGCCCGTGAGTGTGTGGGTGGGTGGGGACTGGGCGTCGGCGTGGGCGGGTGTGGTGGTGAGTGGGGGCGTGGTCATAGGTGGCGGGTGTGGCATCGCAAGGAACAAGCTGAGGGCTGCTTGGGGGTGGGAGTGGGTGTGGAGGCAGGAAGTTGGAGTATGTGAGAGTGGGTGTGGGTGTGTGAAGTTAATGAGTAAATGTGCGAGTCTGCATGTGAATGTGTGCGGGGGTGTCTGTAGTGTGTGTGTGTGCTGTGTTGTGTAGCAGTGTGGCTAGCTGGGTATCAGTTGTCTCTCTGTGTCTGTGGTATGTGCTGCGTCGTGTATTACACAGTGTGTGTAGCAGTGCATTATTGGTACCTTCCTGTGTCTGCAGTGTGTGTGTACAGTGTTGTGCAGCAGTGTGCATAGCTGTGTATTAGTTGTGCTTCTTTGTGTGTAGTGTGTGTGCTGTGTTGTGCTTAGCTCTTTGTACAACAGTGTGTATAGCTGTGTATCAGTTGGGTCTCTGTGTCTACAGTGTGTGTGTGTGTTGGGTTGGGTTGTGTTGTATACAGCAGTGTGGACAGCTGTGCCTGTGTGTCTGCAATGTGTGTGCTATTTTGTGTAGGTCTGTGTGTGTTGTGTAGGGCTGTGTCTGTGTGTGTGCGGTGTGTAAAGCTGTGTGTGTTGTGTTGTGTAGGGCTGTGTCTGTGTGTGTGCTATTTTGTGTAGGTCTGTGTGTGTTGTGTTGTGTAGAGCTGTGTCTGTGTGTGTGCAGTGTGTAGAGCTCGGTGTACAACAGTGAGTGCAGCTGCGTCTGTGTGTCCCTGTGTATCTGCAGTGAGGAGCCCGGAGGCTGCTGGACAGTGCGGGACTGCAGTGTGGTCTTCAGGAACACCACCCATGTGCGCTGCCAGTGTGCCAAGCTGGGCACCTTCGGGGTGCTGATGGACAGCTCCCAGCGAGAGGTACCGCACCCCCAGACTCGCATCACAGCTCTTAAGTCCCCTCTCTCTCTGTGTTGCCGTCTCCACCTCCTCTTGTTTCCTGTCTGCCCGGTACTGCAGTGTGTGACTCTCTCTCTCTC